GATGTTGGAATTAGCAGATAAGAATTTTTAAATAATTATAATTAAGTCATAAGGGAAAATAGTCACAATGAGTTACAGAGTATATCCACAGAGAAATGAAAGCCATTTAAAAAAACAATTCTAGAAATTCTAAAAAACAAACAAATTCTTAAAGGAATGATATCTAAAATGAGAAATACATTGAATAGGCTTAATAGCAGATTGGAGAAAGTAGATAAAGGGTAAATGAACATGAAGATAAATTAGTATCAGTCATCTAATCTGAATGAGAGGGAACGTAAAAAAGGTCACACAGCATACTGATGTTCCCAGACTAGAGAAGAGAGAGAGAAAGAAATAATGCTCAAGAAAATCATAGCCGGGTTACCCTCTCCAAATTTTATTTAAAAAACACATAGCTGTCATTTGTAATAAATATTAATATATTTTAAAACATTTAACACATCACAAAATGCTAAAATTCATAAATGAAGAGGGAAATTTTATAAATATATAATAATGAAAAGACACACCACATATAGAATAACAATTATATGAAAATTGAATTATAAGAAATAATAAAGATTTTAGGATTAAAAAATAACCTTTTTAAAGTGCAGTAAACAACAAAGAAATATCAATGAAGAATTTTATATGCAGAAAAAATATTCTTCAAAAAAGAAGAAAAATATAAGGACATCTTAAGATAAATATATAAATACTGAGGAAATTTGTTGCTATAGACCTTCATTACAAAGAGTCTAAAGTTCTTTATATTGAAGAGAAATATTATCAGATGGAAATTTAGATTAATTCAAAGAATGAAGAATAGAAGGTAAATATTTGGGCAAATAAAGAAGACTCATATTTTGGTTTCTTGCTTTAAAAGACAATTTACTGGTTAAATCTAAAATAATAAAAATCATAATATGAAAAATTAGCATGTGAGAATCCCAGCTAAAAGAGTGAGAGGGCGTAGATGGGAGCATTATAAGCTCCTTACATTTATGATAAGTAGCATTCGTATTAATACAAAATAGAATGTGATAGAAATGGATGTCTTATTCCTAGAGCAACCACTAATAGACACACACACACACACACACACACACACACACACACACACACACACACACACATGTTTATATTAATTCAAGGTAGAATGTGATAGGAATGGATATCGTATTTCTAGAGTAACCACTAATAGATACATATGTACACACACACACACACACACACACACACACACACACACACACACACACAAAGAGAGTGAGAGAAAAATACAAGCCAGTAGAGTATGCCCACATTTTCCTCTAATCACTTATATCTTGAACAATATCGCTCCATACCTGAGCAATAAGGCAAGAAAAAAGAATAAATAACAAAAAGAAGAAATAAAACTGTTTTTATTCAAAGACCTCAAAATTGTTCATGAAAAAAAAATCGTACAGAAAATCAAATAAATTATATTACAAAGGTAGAAACAACGATTTCTATAAGCCTATGATAATTACTAAATTGAGGAATTGGCATAAAGGGAAATAGATCCATGAAAGTGAGTATGAGTCTAAAAATACATCCAACCATATATGGTCTTTTTTTTTTTCAACAAAGTCACCAAGGACATTCAATGGATTTTTTAAAAAGCCCCTATACTAAATGATGCTATAGTGAGTAGTTATGTGCATAGTAATTAGACATCTTGATCCCTACCATATACCATAAAAATTTAATTCAAATATATCACAGATCTAAAGGTAAAAGTTAAAGCTCTAAAAATTCCAAAAGAGGTCCTATGAGAATATCTTTCAGAGTTTTTGCTATGAACTGAGGGACTCATTTAAAATACATATATCTGATAAAGAATTCATCTCCAGAGTCCTGAAATAATTCCAATAAATCAATTAGGCAAACAACCCAATAAAAAGTAGGGAAGAGCTTGAATAGACAGTTCATTAAAGCAAATATACCATTGAAAAGCTGTTTGGTATAGTTAGTTATTAGGGAAATAATACTGCAAAGTGACCATGCTTTCCCTACATTAGAATGGATAAAATTGTTACTGTCCCACACTGATCTTTGTCTCTCTGCCATCTCACATACCTCTCCTTTCAGGAAAACAAGGAACTATTCAAGTGTCCCTCTAGGGTCACTTTATGCATATCTAGACATATAAAATATATAGTTGTTTTTTCCTTTGTGATATAAATATTAACATACAGCATATCCTATTATGTATGCTGATTTATTTGGAAGTTTGTTCATATCAGTATATAAAGAGATTATACATTGTATTTATAATACTGACATGTTTCATTTAGAAGTTTAGTTTAGCACTATTAAAAATCATGGAGTCATATGGTTAAAATCTTCACTATCAAAGAATTGAGTTATTTCTCTACCACAACATTTCTCTATTGAAGCATCACATTACATGAACAATACATGAACAATATAATAGTAAATTTAAGGCAAAAGTTAACAGGTAATGATACTATTGCTTTTGTACTGTGTATGCTCAGCTAACATCCAAATAACAATTAATATCTCAAAAAACTACTTAAAACATTCCACAGTTGTTAAGTTTAAAAGTTGTATTAAATAAAAATCTACTACCCTTAAGAAAATTCACATAGAAAGAATATAACTGAATATGTCCTGTGAATACTTTAGATTAATGAACAATAAGCAAACAAAAGTGCTATCATAAAAATCAAGTAACAGAGTAGTTTCTAGCCAAATGTTTTGTAACTTTCAAAAAAAGAGGATGAGAGTAGGCTCTGTTGTTTCTTCATCAAAATAGCCCAAAAGTAAACAGGAAGTATCAATAAACTAGTATGCCTTATGACCTAATTTTCTGTCAAATACTATCTTACAAAAACAGTTTTAGTTTTTTTTTCCTTCCTGTTATCTTAATGTGATTGATTCAAAGAGAACTAAATCACCTTGACTTAAAAAAAAATCAGTATGTCCTTAAGACCAGACTCCCCTTATAGTGAGAACTGATCTTTATGGATGTTAGGAGACTTGGAAACAACTGTAAGAATCAAACTTCTCTTCAGGCATGTACAACATTGTCACATTTATAGCTCACATATAGCATCTGTGAATGGAGAGCCAAGTATGATGCCTGATATTGACCAGTGCTCTAATGGCTTAAAGGTGTTAACACATTTTACAGTACAGGTACAAATAAAGTATTTTTTAGACTAAAGGCCATTGTTTGCAATTTATATTTTTTACTTTAATCTGTGGACTAACTTTTCATTGTAAAAGTAGGACAAGCACATAATAAAAATAAGTTTTTTAAAAAAATGGTTAACTCTTCATTGTAGTTCTCTATTTCATTTGTCCCTCTCTCCAGATGCAGTCACTGAATCCAATCTCAGGGCTCTCCTTCCTGAACAATACTATCATTTGTCAAAAAAAAAAAAAAATGGTTGTATACTATATATAATAAGTGAATGTAATTACACAGTTATGAAGGATCTCAGAAATGTATTCAGAACTAATAATACAATTTAAAACTCCAAGATCCAAACCATAACTTCAGAAAGTGTGTTCTTGCCCCCATGCAGCTCAATTGTAGTTACTAAACATAGGAGAGTATTTTGAAATGCATAAGGCACACACAAGTGAGAGGTTCTAAGCACTGCTTTTGAACTGGAAATGAAGCCACCTGGAGGTTCTGAGCTTAAAAGGAGTACATCTCACCAGTGACTTTTCTCCACTCTCTCATTACTTCATGAAATGGAACTCAAGCCCTGGCTCATGGCCCTATTGGAGGGACACAGGAAAAGGTGGAAGTGACTGAGGCACCATTGTTCTGTTTCCAAACTAATACCTGCCTCAACATGTGGCATGACCTGGAGCAGAGCTGCTATAAAATGTAATTCTCCTTTAACCCCTCCACGTAAATCATCAGAAACCTTCTCTCCACCGATTTAAACAAATTTGGTCTTTGACCTCTGGAGTCAGAATTGGCCACAACAACTCTTTCAGATGGCTGTAGTATTGAGTGTTTGATGTATGTCAACTATCATAAAACACAATTCCATTTCACGACAGATCTTCAAATAATGTCAGGTATGTCCAAAGTTAGGGTAACAGTCTCTTTATTCTGAGTAAATCAGTAGCATAAAATACTGCACATTGATGAAATAATACACTTTGTTGTATCAAGATTTCACATCTAATGCAGCTGTGATTTGTAGTGTTGTTCAGCCAGTTGCAACACCTGTCAACGTACTTCCGATAGTAACTTCAAAAGGCTTCCAATAAATGCCAAATGCTTAAAAGCATGCTAGGGTGTATAAGTAAGAATTTTTCTGGATCTGTGATTTTATATTTAGCAATGAGATTAGTATAAAAGCTCATAAACCAATCCGTTGCTTAATGATCTATCTGCAAACATTCAAGTCTGATAATTTGAGGTGCCACAGGAGACCCCAAAGTTATATTTGTTCAGTTTTCTGGGGGAAAACCCCCAAACAATATATTGATATACTATATTAAACAACGTTAAATAAAACATAAACTCTATAGTTAAAGCAAGTTTTCCAATCAAAATTTATTTTCCTGATTTCTATAAACATTAAATTTTTTTTTCAAAAAAAGTTTCAAGGAGCTCCAACAGATATATATATATATATATATATATATATGACATACATATAGAAATATATAGAGAGAAATGAATTTCAACATCTCTTGGTAAGTAATGTTTAATAAACTGTAATACAGGAAGATATTGTATTGAATATAATATTAAAATGTTTTGGTACTTAATAGTTCAAAAAATTGTTTTATTTAATTGAGACCAACTGGTCTCATTGCTTCTTATAAACTTTGCAATATATATTCAGTAAAAAGGAATAAAAATGAACAGATGTTTCTCCTTAAAAAAGGCAGACAAAGATTTTTCTTACACAATAAATCAACTGCTGGTGGATTTCCAGGACATTGCCTCAGGCTAACTATTTAGGTATAAAACTTTAAAAAATAAAATAAAGATTTACCTCTGTATGAATCCAGAATTGGTAGAGAAGATTGAATTGAAGATGAACAGCATATACCGAAGGTGGTACGAAGAGGGCCAGGGGAGAGTAGAAAATCTGAAAGAGAAAAACAATTTAAAATTAATTTGCATATATGATCTCTTTATTAATTTATAATAAGCACTTTATTAACGGTTCCATATTCTGAGTGTATAGTTCTCCAACAAGTATTTTATTCTATGTACTTTCTCGCCATGTTTGACTTTGAAACTTTAAATTTCCACATGGCGATAAAATTGCAAACATATTAGAGCTAAGTCAACTGGATTTCTATTTTGCATTTAATATTGTCTAGTTAAATATCATATGTTGGTGTTATTTCCTTAATCTTGAAAGTGTTGGATGTATTTTCTAGAATTAAATATGTTTTATATATACACAAAGATACTCACTCTCTTTATGGAAAAAAAAATGTAAGACTTTGTGCCTTTCTACCTTGACAGCTTTGTATTATTACCCAGCATTTTCTATAATAAAATAAAGTTCTTATAAAGAGACCATATATTTTATTATTTTTATTTTGTTTTTATAAGGTTGATTGAAGGGGCCATATCTCCTAATTTTTTCAAAGTTATTAGGAAGTAGGTATGATATGGTACCATGATGGAAACAAATTTTAAAGGTTTGTAGAAGGAAATGCCTCTGGCTTGGAAAAATGAATTATGATTAAACCACAGAACTGGTTAGAATCAACTAATAAGCATGATCTGTTGTGTTTTTCTAATGATTTTGATCCCCCAAGAGTGGTTTCATGTTAGAAGAAAACTTTTTATTAAATGAAAACTAAATAACCAAATAAGAGTAAAATGAACCTGACTTCCACCTCATATTTCTGATTTTATAAAGTTTACACTGCTTAAAGACAAAATATTTTATACAATTTCTTCTGAATATTATACTTTTATTTTAAAATTATTTAAAGGTCTTGTTCTCAGTTAGGCTACAAGTTATTTCAGAGATTTTTAGTTATAATTATATGCATTCAAAATTGAACATTACTCTTCTAGTTTTTGCTTTTAAACTTAAGTCATAAAAGTAATCTCAATTGTCATCCCAAGCAGCAGGATCAGTTCTGTTATTTATACATTTATAATTAAGCAATAGATTTTAGCAAACAACAAAAGAATACTGGGCTCTTATTCAAGAGATTAATTTTTAATCTGCGGGTCCACTACTGAATCCCTCTGTGCTAGTCACAAAGTTCTTACACTTCTTTAGGTTTCAGTTACCTCAAATTAATGGAGAAGGGAAAAGCCATTTGAAATCTAGCCATCCTTTTTTATTAAAAATAAAGTCTGTGATACTATAATTTTGCTTTGTAATATATCAAAATATTTTTCTTCCAGTAGATTAACAGCAAATTTGTAAAATATATATGACCTAAAGATCCTTTAAGTTAAGCGATATTGTAGAATCTCTTCTTTGAGATGTGAGAAAAATGTGAAACAAGTTATTTTGGATCCCTATGAAGTAGTTCTGTTTGGATAGACCTTGCTTAGCAGCTCAATATTTATAGTTCACTATAATTTCCCAAAGTGTGGAGAAGTCGCCCCTTGAGAAAACAACAACTGTTATGGAAAAGGTGGTTCTATGGTCAAATAAGTGTGAAGTGATGAGTTTAAAAAGTGAAGTTTCTTTCACACAGGACTTTTCAGAGCCTTTACATGCCAATGTAAATCACAAGTCTATTAGCCTGTAGAATACTTTCTTGATAAGTTTTCCATAGGATTAGATTTCATAGAAACCCATCTTATGTAACAATGTGCTAAATCTTACAAATCAGTAAATATAATGATGAGCTGACAGATGAAAAAAAGAGCTCTCCATGAATTCCAAAAATCACATTACTAACAACAAAAAAAATAGGTCAGGAAAAAAGTCACATGAATCACATGAGTGATAATTTCTTATGATGAATACAGAGCTATAAACATAATGTAATAATACTATCAAGGTTCTTATTTTTACAATTTAAAGCAACTTAGTAAATATGTTTCAGGTATGAGAATTCTTATTTTTCTTCTTTACCTCCAATCTTTGTATTTTCCAATCTTCTACAGATTTTAAAACCAATTTAAACACTACTTCTATCATAAGTCCTTAATGGTACTAACTTGAATGAAGAAATTCTCCTTCTTCAACCCAGAGTAAGTCTTAGTACCTGAGTCAGGGACATTAAACTGTTTACAAAATAAATTCATCTCTACCAAGCATCTAAATTCATGTTATTCTGACTCCAAGGCTCTTTAGCCTTAAGTTACACTTTCTACCCTGTTATTTTATTATATTATGATAGAAGTCATATACAATAGGACTACAAATAGAGAGAAAAGAACACAGATCGATCTATCTATCTATCTCTCTCTCTCTCTCTCTCTATATATATATATATATATAAGATGGCGATAAAATTGCAAACATATTAGAGCTAAGTCAACTGGATTTCTATTTTGCATTTAATATTGTCTAGTTAAATATCATATGTTGGTGTTATTTCCTTAATCTTGAAAGTGTTGGATGTATTTTCTAGAATTAAATATGTTTTATATATACACAAAGATACTCACTCTCTTTATGGAAAAAAAAATGTAAGACTTTGTGCCTTTCTACCTTGACAGCTTTGTATTATTACCCAGCATTTTCTCTCTCTCTATATATATATATATAGAGAGAGAGAGAGAGAGAGATATCTGAGGAAAGAATGAGGATAAGCCTGGAGATTTTCTTAGGCTAACAGATAGAAGGTGAGTGAATTTTATTCTGTTACTAAGTGAATGGGAGCCAGCAGAGGGTTGTGTGAGATCATATTATGAACCAAAAAACAGCATAGCATTTAGGGGGAACTGCAAGCATTTTGGCATTACTTAAAGCATGGGAGAATAGTGTGGCAAGAAATCTTGCCCTACCATGAGATTTCTGAATAGAAATCCCTGAACCTTCTGGCACTGCTACAGCAACATGTTAGCTTGTGCACATGGAGGAGCATGCATTTTTCTAAAGAAACAATTTATAGTTTTCATTACAGTCTCCAGTGGGTCTCTGACTAGCCATAGCTGAAACAAAAAAATTATATATATATTCCATTAGTGGTCAAATCAGACAGGAAAACTTTTGGGGGCCATTTTAAGAGGATTGACCATAAGAGAACAATTAACATCTTTTTAAGAATGTAAGAAATCCAAAATATAAAAGTCTATTTGGAGCCCAGTGAAAAGTGATGCATATTTAATGACAGTGGCAGACATGGAGATGGAGAGGTAGATTACATACAACAAATCTAAGGATTTGGTAACCACTCGCACCTAGGAGTTGAGAGGGGTAGAGCAGTGTCAGAAAACGCTCAAGTTTATGGTTTGTATATTAGGGAATATCGTTCACCAAGACAGGGTGCAGAAGGAAGAATAGGTTGTAAAGTTCAACTTTGAGAGTTCTGTGTTGAAGTCCATGAGGTATAACCCAAGGAAACTATTGTATAAAGTCAGAAAGGCATGTATGGAATTAGACCTCAGGAAATCAGGAACTGTCTGGGTCGAACTTACTTATACTGGTGTCATGAAAATATTGATTGTATTTGAACTGACAGATGTGTCCACAGTGGGAAGATAACAGCCAAGGATGCAATTCCATGGGCAGTCAGAAAACGAAATGGTAGCAAATTAGGCTGAAACAAGACAGTCATGGAAATGGAAAAGATCCAGTGGTTAGCATTACCAGAGACAATGAGAAATTTTTTAAAAGGAGAGACTAGAAGACTATCATTGAGTGTCCAAGTAAGACAAGAAGTCAAGTAAGCAAACAAAAAACAGTTACACTGGATTTGCAGGCATGGCTCAGCACAGCAGTAGGTCTGGTATCCAGATCTCAAACTAACTCAGGACGGTAAGTTTATGAATCATCCAGAAGAGGTAATAAAATGGAGGAAGGAGTTGTTACTGTGTTTCCCTGAGAACAAGAAAGGAGGTAGCTGGAAGTATTTCTTGAAAAAAACAATAGATGAAGGAGGAGATCGTACTTGTTTCTTCTTTTAATGTAAGAGACATTCAGAAGCAGCCAGTTGAGAGGAAGAGACAAATGCCAAAAGTAGTTGAGTGGACAAAGTCCAAGAGAGAAAACCATAATAACAGCAATGACATCAACCTAAAGATTAGACCTGGTGAAAGGAGGTGAACATTTTCTATAAAACTAGAGGTAAGTTTTATAGACATTCACTTGTGAATTCTTGACTCTTAATTGAAGATATGTGAACAGGATGTCAGAAAACTGGAAAAACTCACATTTCCCTGTGAAACTTTAAATGTGTTTAAGAGGCAGCAGAGGAGAAGATATCTTGAGAAAACTGAAATTCTAGAAAGGCTTCTCCAAGGTGGAAAGGAGAAAACAGAGCAGTCTCATGTTTACGGATTTGTAGACAATGTCTAGGGACCACCTGGGTGTGAAAGCCATACATAGACGGGCACTAAACAGCCCAACTGGTTCGGGAGAGCACCCACAACATTCAGCAAAAACCTGGATGTGGAAGTGAAGAAGGTGGATGATTGGATTTATTTGTAGCTTGAGGTGGAGAATTTTAACAGAGGATGAAGACTGTGCTTGCCAGGGTCACGGAAATTTAGTACCTTCGGTTGAATGACGTAGAAAGTAAGACCAGGAAGTGATGACAAACAGAGAGAAAGCAGGGATGAGAGAGGAGAACAGTACACAAGTCAACTGCTAAGCAACAGAGTTAAAGATTAAGTGTATCATTACTTAAGAAAACAAACAAACACATCTGAGCTCCTGGATTCACATCTACTTTAATCGTTCAAAGTGGCTTAATTAACATGACTGTCTACATTTCTAGGATTCTTGTTTTTTATAATATTTGCTTTAGAGATAAAGCAATTTTGTAAAAAAGAAAATTCTCTTCAGAACTGAGAAACTAATGATTGAAGAATCAGGGAGTATTGCCATATTCCTTCAGTCTATGATTGGTAATGATACAGAACAAAATCCTCTGACTACAGATAAAAGAACTGATCTCTGTCCTTAAGACATATCAAAGTAAATTTTGTGTTTGG